ATACTTTGTTTGAATTTCAAATGTTTTTTCAAACTATTCCTATATATATTGGATTTATTTATATATTTCCATTGTCTTTTATTTAAAATAGATGATCCTTTTATATTAGCTCTTTCCATATTGCAAACATTCTTCCGGTACAAAAACTGAGCAATTATTTGCAATTAAATTCAATTGAAATTATAAAATTATTCTCTTAAAACAATTTTTCAGGAAAATAAGTTTCTCAAATCGAGAAGAAATCCACCATTCACTGCCATATAGGAGGATAGATATTACATAGCACTTGAGCTTGCTTATGTTTATTTCAATTAAATTTTTCCATGTCTTAATATTGTGCTTAGTTTCAGGAAGACATCTTTCATTATTCAAATGCTTCTTTAGAACATTATGCCACATTTTCCATCCTTCTTGCTAATGACCATATGTTATATCCTCTTACAATATATTAGTATATTTATTATAAATATAATATACAAATGTTATTACAGACAAATGATGTTGTTTGTCAACTCTAATTCAAAAGTTGACTTTCCTCAAGATTACTTTAACATAAAGTCTTTAGTTAAAAGTTAAAACCAGCTGTCTTAATAATCAAAATCAATAACTGTTTCTAAATTAAGGCACTGATCAATCAAGGTTTAAAACAAACTGTACTAATATGAAGAAAGGTTTAACAAACAATTGTTTTGTTTATGATGAAGTGGTCAATTATGAAAGTGACCCGTCCTGACATTTCTATGGCCGACATCATTGAATTGGTGGTGTTGGGTTGGGAGAGGTTGGGGCTTTTATGAAGCTAGGATTAAATTAACTACGACTGGATCTGCTGCTTTGGTAATGAATTGAAGTGATGACGTAAGGATTAACCAATATCCTGATCTTAAATCTGTGCAGGTAAGTCTGTCAAAGTAACAAGAGAGAGTTCAAGGTATGTGGCTCTTCAACTGAAATCAATAACATTAGAGTTTATATAGTATTTACATGAGCTGTGAATTTACAAATAAAAGAAAAAAATACAGGTTAATTGTTTTAATCTCATTTAAAATCTGATCAGCACAAAATTGGCAGAATATATATATTAATTAGTATTATTATATGAATTATATATAAAAAATCATCTACATAATTATTTTATTACTAGTTTTACTAAACGTGATGACATGTTGTTGCTTTTTATATATAGCAAAAATCAATGAGTTCAATATTTGATTGTTTAGTTTTATTTATTTTATTATTATTACATTTTTAGGTGAAGGATTTTTACTATTATTATTTTATTAAAAAAACAACAACTTCATCTTATTTCCCGGAAATTTTTAGTTGAAGTCATTTTTACTATTATTATTTCGTTAGTAGTTTTATTTCATCTTTTATTGTTTTTTTAAAATATGTTTTAAATATTCGATTTATTAAATAGGAATAAAATAATAAATAAAAGTCTTATTGAAATTTATTACTGTTTTATTTTTTTATTACTTTGAATTTCAAAAAACGGGGTTTAAATAATAATTTATATAAATATATATATAAAAAAATATAATAAAGAATATTAAATATGATTTATATATCAGGTCATCCCATAAGTTCTGTCTGAATTTTTTTTTTTTGTTAAAATAAACAAAATTTAAAGAGTATTTTATAATGTCTAATGGAGCTGAACATTATTTTTTTATGTTTAGATGCATTTAAACTGATCAAATTTTATTTCAGAGAACAATAAAATTAAATTTTGTTTGATTAAAACCCTGCTAACATGGAAGTACCCAAGAATCATTTGAGGCACATAATGCTTTATGAGTTCAAGAAAGGAAACTCAGCAGCAGAAGCGGCTAGAAACATTCACTCGGTTTATGGAGAGAAATGTGTGAATGAAAGAACTTGCAGAAGATGGTTTGCAAAAATTCAGAGGTGGAGATTTCATCCTTGAAGATGAAGATCGAACCGGACGTCCAGTTGAGTTTGATGAAAAGCTTCTTGAAGCAGCCCTTGAAGAAAATCCTGCTTTATCAGTTGAGGAATTGGCAGTGGTTCTCAGTTCAAACCATACAACTGTTCATCGTCATCTTCAACAACTTGGAAAAGTTCCTAAACTTGGAAAAAATGGGTGCCTCATGAATTGTCTGAAAACAACCTCAAATCCAGAGTTGACATCTGCTCTTCTCTCCATTCTCGCCAACTTGTTTCACCTTTTTTGGATAGACTTGTGACTGGCGACGAAAAATGGATCTTTTATCGAAATGTTAAGCGTCGTAGACAGTGGCTTGGTAAAGGGGAAGGACCCCAGCCACAGCCGAGAAGGGAACTTCATGGGCAAAAGGTTCTTCTTTCAATCTGGTGGGATCGCCAAGGAATAATCCACTTTGAATTCTTACCACCTAATGCAACAATTAATGCTCAAATATACTGTCAGCAATTAGAGCATTTGAACCAAGCTTTGAGGAAAAAAAGACCTGCTCTAGTGAATCGAAAAGAGGTGATGTTTCATCAGGACAATGCGCGACCCCACACAGCAAGAATCACGTCACAAAAGATCGAAGAACTTGGTTGGGAGAAAATTCCTCATCCACCTTATTCTCCTGATCTTGCTCCTTCAGACTACCATTTGTTTTGTAGCTTACAGAATCATTTGGAAAAAACAGCTTTTGTAACACAGGAAGAGGTTAAAACTGACATTTGTGAGTTCTTTGAATCAAAGCCAAAAGAATTTTACAGTAATGGAATTAGTAAGCTTGTTAATAGATGGAAGGAAGTCATAGGTAATCAGGGAAAATACATTGTTGATTGAATCTGTAATTAAGTGTAACATTTCGTCACTTGTTTTCTTTATTCAAAATTCGGACAGAACTTATGGGATGACCTGATAAATATGCCACAGGAATAAAATTAGTTATGCCTTACCTAATAATTCCCCCTAAATACTAGAATAATTTCATTTTGATTCCTTTATTATGGCTGGTATCCTCCTGTAAGATTTCTAGTGTATGTGCCATTTGATAGTTCTCTCTGCCACTTTAGTTAAGATAATAGATCATCCCAGAATCTCAGTTAAAACTTTCTAGAAAATTAATCAAATTTTAAAACTAGTAGAAAATATAAAATAAGTTTATGGCAATAAGTCTGTTTATCTACAACTAACAATAAAAAACAAAACTTGATATTAATTTCCATTCCAGTGCTTTCATTAATTTCATGTGTATGACTCCTTATGCTTTCACTCTGAGTGAAAACCTTTTCTTTGTTTCTTTCCCTCATTTGAACAACAAGGAGGAAATTTAAGTAATTTAAAGATAAAATTATATAAATACATACATATTGCTATAAACATTTCGGCTTTCAGCAAATAAAACCTGAGTGTCTTGGCAAAGATCATCTTTCTTTGAACATTGTGAATTTGTATCACCAGTCCACAAATATAGAACTGTACCAAATAACAGAGACCACATTACTTGAGGACTACCAACAGCAAAAACAACTAAAATGGATAGCACATGTATACTCAAAGAGAAAATAATGACATAATCAAGATGTTGATGTCCCACATGCCTTCAAATTAAAAGTTAGGAAAGAAATCCCGATCAATAGTGGAAAGAACTATAACAGCTACCATACTTGAAAAACCTATTTTCCTGAAAAATTGTTTTAAGTGAAAGAATTTATAAATTTCAACTTAAAGCAGAACTGGCTTTTGAGTCATTGAATGCCAAATGTTTTCTTGTAGGGGTAACAGCTAATATTACCATTACTATGTCATTTATTGCATATATGTGTTTGAGTAGATTAAATATAAATAAATATCACATTTATATGTACAGAAAAAAATGGTGGATTTTTTAAAAATCCATTAATTAATTAAAAAATACATAGATGTATATATTAAATTCACAATTACTGACCTATTACAAAAACGAATTAAGATGCCCCCTGAGAGAAATTTTATCTGGGTTACAAAGTTTCTTTCCAAGGAGGGAGGGAGCTTTACTCTTAGTCATTTTATTTTTGTTCCCCCATGTTAGGTTTTATGGCATGAGTTCTAATGCCAAAAAAAAAACAAACTATATGACAGCTTGTCTTTAATATATATGAACACTTTTTGAGACCCTCTTCCAGAATCTCTTCTCCTAGGCCCTGCTAAGTAATCAGAAAATGGTTTTCAAAGAAAATCACTGATGTAAGTATATGGCATTTTAGATAGTTCATAATAATACAACACATACCCAGTTAAATTATCAAACAATCACTCACTTTTATAAATGAACATAAAATGTTAATTGAGTTTATTAAGAAAAAATGACCTTTTTTTTCTTTCTTTTTTTAATCATGTTGTCCCAAGAAAGGCAATAAAGCCTCTAAGATGCAAGGAGTTACTGAGAGTAAAAGAAACTGTGAGGACAATAAAAGAACAGGGTTCAAGGAGACAGAAGATAATGATTGACATTGCATTCAAATTTATCATAGATAGGAAGGCATGAAACCAAAAGCGAGATCCACAAGCAAGGAATGCAAGAGAAGTAACTGTCAGTATAGAACTACTTACTTATTTCCAATAGCTTACATGTTGAAACACCAGTTCTCATATGATCATGAAAGTTAAGTAACATCATACCTGGTCACTACCTAGATGGGTGACCACTTATGAATACCAGGTGGTGTAAGCTTGGAAGTGTAAGTAATATAATGCATATTGGCTTGGAATTGTTAATCAAAGACCCAATTTCCAATCCCTGTTGAATTTGTTTTATTCATTTATGCACAAATACCCCGGGGGAAAGATATGAATCTACCTCTTCTCCTCCAGTTATGGGTTAAATAGTAGGACTTGTTTCAGTAAATCATTAAATAGGTAATGTAAGTTTGATCCCTGATGGGAGATAATACATTTTCTCTAATAAAACTTTTGATCATCTAGGCCAGTAGACATTAATTTCACTGTTTGTAAATGAACAGGAATGTCTACTCAAACCCGTGTACACACTGAAATAACTTCAAATGGTTTACAACTATATCACATTGAAACACTGGTTCTCATATGATCACCAAAGTTAAGCAATGCTGAACCTGGTCAGTACCTAGATGAGTGACTGCTTGGGGATATCAGGTGCTTTAAACTTGCATGTATGGGTGGTGTGATTGATAATGGTTCACAATGAGAAATCAGAACACTGATTTTGAGTTCCAGTCAGGTCCGTTATGTTAACTTATGCACAAATAAAGAAAGGTATGAGTCCACCTCTTCTCCCTCGGCTATGGGTTAAATAGCAGGACAGACTGGGTCCTAAAGCCTTGGGTGACAATCAGTCTACTTCAGAAAGTAACAGCAGCCTACTTTGGGAATTCTTCTGCCAAGTAAATCATGAATTGAAAAGAGGCATGTATACCCATCGGTTCTCATATGATCACCAAAGTTAAGCAATATTGAACCTGGTCTAGATGAGTGACTGCTTAGGAATTGAAAAGAGACATGAATGTCCTAGCAGGCATCACATATAAGGAAGGAATTGAAGGAAGCCCATCTAATTATAGACTGAGCAGATATTTTAACAATTTGTAGATTTTCTTGAGCAGTTGAAAACGAAGTACTAATTAGCATCTGATCACTTCTAAGGACAACAAACACCTGAGGAAATTCTTGTTTTGTGTGTCATTGTTTGGTTATTCTTTGAATCAAAACTTTGAAAAAAAAAATCCTTTATTAAATAAGAACTCCCCACAAAATTATAAAATTCCAATAATTGTTTAATTTTTGTCAGGTTTTTAGATTCAGGATGTGTTTGATACCAGATCATTGCCAGAGCGTTTTGAGTTGGCAGGGTGGTCAAACAGGATTTGAACTTGGATTGCTGATTTCCCTTTTCACACTGATGGCTGTTACACTATTTATTCTTCATTATACACACTCTAGCTAAGCTAAAAATTAATACTGAAACTCAAAAATAAAACTTAAAAGCTGAACCTATCGGGCACTGCTGGGCTGACATTTGAACAATTTTCTTGATAAGTTAAAAAAAAAGAAAAGTATTGATTAACATCTGAAAACTTCTAACTACAACAGGCACATAGGAAAAATCAAAGAGTATATCAGGGAAAATGTTGTACTAAAAACAACAAAGATAAAGATAATAGTTCAAACAATAGGCAAAATAATGAAAACACTTCATCTAAAAATTTCAAGCAACATTTATAAAACTAAAATATTTTTTTCCTCGCCTCATGACAAAACAAAAAACTATCCTGGGTATGACAATTAACTACATCCAGCAGCAAGGTCGAGAGATTTGAGGTTTTGAGGAGCATGGAACCACCTCTTAATTCCTGTTGTTCCCAGGTCCTCCCTGACTTGGGGTGGTATCATCTTTTAGGGTTCCAGCTACAGACAAATTGTGAACGCCCACCCCAAATGAAAATCAACAATACACTTTTATAGTAAAATGACAATGCAATACTAAAAAGTATGAAAATACATTTTTATAAAAACTTACCAACAATATATTAAAAAAAAATTATCAACAATACATTTTATCATCTCCAAACTATATATCTAAAAAAATATACGTTTACCATGAAAGTATAAAATTATGTAAAAAATATCTGTAGTTGAAAGCATAAAATTGCATACAAAATATTTAGATTTCAGTATTAAATAACCCATAGAGGTGTTGATATGCCAATAAACAAAAACAACCAATGAACCAACAAAACTAAAAAAAAAAAAAGCATGTGGAGCAAGGTAAGCTGACATTTGAATCTACATTTTATTTTATTTCTGACAAGCTGTCTCTGTTAATAACATTAAAAACCTTGGCTTAGATTACCTCCATTTGAATATGAAATATTTGTTTTGAGTTGAAAGTAATCCTAATCAATACAACTTTTGATCAGTCAGAACCAATAATTTTAATTTCACATAATCACTGTTCTCTATTTCATAATTATCTGTCAGGCTACAGAATTCATTTAGAAACAGACCCCCCCCCCAAACTTGGATAGTCTTCATAAGTTGTGATGCACATTTCTACAACATAGTCTTTTGTATATACAAGTTTCACATTAGTGGATTCAAACGATTGCAAATCAAATATAGTTATTTTCTAAGCGTAGCTTAGATGTGGTACAAGGCTGAATCAAATCAAATATATTTAAAAGAAAAAAAAGTACCAAAAAAATTAAGTAGGCTTACAGTTACATCACATTGAAACACCGGTTCCCATATAAGCGTCAAAGTTAAGCAATTTCAAGCCTGGTCAGTATGTAGAAGGGTAACCACTTAGGAATACCAGGTGATGTAATGGATTACAGCTCAGACTTGTTAATCGGAGAGCAAGATTCCAATACCAGTTGAATTCATTATATTCACTTATGCACAAATACCTTTGGGAAAGGTATGAATCCATCTCATCTCCTCTAAATATGCGTTAATTAGTAAGATTTGTATCGCTAAAACTATTATTATCTCTGCTGTGTAGGAACCTACCACCCCTCTTGAAGATGAACTTGTCTACAAACAAGGACGTTAACTAGTGGCATGTCAAAAGACAGTGTTGAAGAAGTTCTGAACTGAGTTTGAGCTGAGTTACCAAGCATTCCATTTTATTTTACATGTTATTTGGCGTTTGTCTTTTTAACCCCAAATTAACATCATAACAATTCAAAAAATTGTGCACAAAATAACAGATTTTCCAAGCCCTTCAACTTATTACCACTAAATGCCAACTAGAAAAATTAAAAGCTGTTTCTTCTCCTTGATGAATTTATGCCAAATTTTATTGTTACATGTTAACATTCTTTTGATCACATGTTTGGTCCATAGTATCCTCAGCATCTTTCTGTAGAACCTCAGCTATTTTGTTGTATTAGCACTTAAGTGAATGTAATGTATTCAAATCAAACTCTTCATCCTTTGAGATCATCCACCACTTACCCTGCCATTATAGGGAAAGTGATATCACGTTTAACAGTTTAGTCTAACCTTTTCCCTTGTTCCTAGTGTTTTTTTTCAAATGATTTCTTAGTAACATGGCTGTTTCTTATCTCCTTTTGAATGCATCTACTTTTGTCAGAAATCCCAATATGCTTTCAGATTCAAGCTCCTTGTCATTGGCACTGATTCTGTCATGAAAGATCTGTTAAACAGTACATTGATTCCTTTGTTTTAATAATTCACTCCTTGCATTGGACAGGGTGCAGAAATTAAATTCAAGCCAATGTCTTACCATTATTAAAAACATTTCATATTACATGCATTATTAGGTACCATGTTTATTTCAAAAGCAGTAAAAAGTCAATCATCAGAACAATTGCTTTAAAATTATATCTTGAAAATATGTATGGTGAAAAAGCATTTAACATGGGAAGCTATCCATTATGTCATTGGGAAAGTTGGGCTTGTTAGATTCACCCATCCAAAGCCAGGATGCCAGGTCAGGACCAAACTCATGATTTAGCATGCAGATTCTTCTTTTGATTTTATCAAGTGATTCATACTTTTTCCCAAACTCTAAATACAAATAGAATTTGAAGCACCAAACCAGATACCTGCACATCCACATTATTCAAAGGGGTTACAAGGATGAATGATAGACTTATAAATCAAGGAGACAGATGAAAAATTACGTCTAGATTTTTTGGAGATCAAAGTTGATTTAGTGTAAGAAGCCAGAACAGCATAATGAAGTTCAGAGAAACTTTTCTTAGTTAATTGTTTCAGTACGAACATTTTTTACATTTTATGCCAGGGGAAAGAAAGTGTTATTTCTCCTAAATGAGTAACTGTCCTAAGTTATGTGTTGTTTTCCTAGCTCATCTTGTCTTCATGATGTGAATATCAAACTTCCTCAAAAAGTTCTACCTCAAACGATTAAAAGATTGAACAGTTTTCAGCATTTTGGAGCTTCAAATCTCTTCATCTTTGTGCCATTAAAATTAATAACAGTTTTATTTCTTGCTATTTGTTAGTGAATTTTTTTCTACTTAACAACAGATCCCAATAGGTCATATTTTAGATCAACTGCCAATTTGAGCCGAACAATTACCATTAGAAAAAAAGACAGGGAGTCAGTGGGAAAAATAGGTCAGGACCAAAAAACATTGCAGTCTTCAGCTGAAGCACCAAAGTTGAGAACTGAATGCTTATAAATGTGAAAAATTCTTTAGCACAGGAAATCATTGTACATTTTATGCCAGGGGAAAAAACATGTAAGTTAAGGTTCATATTTTTGAGCCGACTTACCATTAAGACAGGAGTAAATAGTTGTGTCAAAATTTTTTTTTATTGCAAAATACTTTTTTTAATGTCAGTGAGTATTATTTACCAAATGTATTAAAAGGTTGTGAGGGTCAGCACATTTTTTTATGTATATGGTATGTTGTTTAAACAAAAACTGTCATTATTTGTTTTTCAGACTATTGACCTCATCTTTGTCGCCATGTTTATTACATTGTTTTGGCCGTTGTACGCTCCAGCCTTCTTCAGGTGGTTGGAATGTCAAACTGAACCCTTTATTTTGCTTACTGGGGTAGACTGTTCTAGTTCCACTTGCCATGTTTAATGGATGTCATTTGTCAGTTATCTCCTATTAATTCCCCTCTCCAAGTTCTCCACTGCCATAACCAGGTCTTGAACTCACACTCTTTGGATCCTGTCACTGGATCTAACTTATACCTTTATCCACTGTGCCATGTGTCCTTGAGGACATTCCAACCATCTGAAGAAGACCAGAGCATACAACGGCCGAAACGTTGTAATAAATATGGCAACAAAGATAAGGATAATAATCTGAATAATGTAAATAGTGTACATAATACCTCATCTCAGAAATATAAACAAAAACTGTCATGTTACTTCAGGATATAGACAATCATTTTTGTTTGCAGATTTCTTTTTCTTTAATATCTGTGAATTGCCATGCATTCTTAGGAGAGATTGTGGAATATTTTCCTATTGTTTTCTCCATAGTTTGGAATTCAGTTTTCTTTCTCCTAGACTGGTTATTATCCAGGTTTAGAGATCCAGTTTATCCTGATATTTAACTCTTAGCTGGTTGTGGGTGGGGTGGTTCCTTGCCTTTTCCAAGAGACTTTTTGTGAAAGTGAGAACAGGGATTATC